ATTCTGTTAAAGCTGTTTGAAGAAGGGGTTATTGGTGGAGAGATAGGACAAATTTGATCAAGGATTATAGTATGCATATGAAAATATCACAATGAAATATCCTTTAGATATACGAGATATATATATATATATATTCTAAGAAATTATTCCAAATAGGGGACAACTTACCAAGATGTACTCAAAGGTCTACTTTTCTTAAACCTGGACTGCAAGTAGAAATAATCAAGTTAGTAGCATACACCTGAAGGAATATTAGGTTCAGAATCATGATTTCTTTGAGTAGCACAGGCCAGATTACAGACAGATATGGAGTTCTTGGCAATTATGTTTGTCCTCTGATTTACAGTGAGGACAAGAAGACTCTAAGGAACGATGAATTTGGAGCAAGTTAAATCTAGATATATAGAGCTCAGGAACTCATCCAATGGACCAAAAAACAAAAGGAACTGGGGGTGTCTAGGTGGGCCCTTAAGAAAGAATTACTGCTTAAGAAAGGAAGCCATCTGTCATGGGGCCAGATTTAGCTAGAAAAAAAAGGAATGGTTTTTGGTCTGAGTCCCAGGAATAGGAATATGGATCCTGTCATTCTGCGGGAAGGGCTTCTGAGCCGCCTCTGCCATTATGTTCTCTGGGTCCTGGGTAAGCACTTATTCTCTCTGGACTTCTATGTCTTAGTGTAAAATGGGGGCAGTGGTGATAATATAGTCTTTCTATCATACAGTGGATGGGAGGACAAATATAAGAATTGTGTGTAAAGCCCTTGGAGAAGTTGATAAATATTAAATGGAAACTTAGGTAACTTCTGAAGGTCAGTTGTTCGTTTATGAACTGAACGTCTAGAACCTGTAACACTAGTCATGACAAGAGTCTCACACAATTCTGTATCATTCAGGGGCTTAGCTTAAGGGTATCTACTTCTCAATCTACCTAGGGCTGTTCCTGCTCAGAGGAAAATAGTATTCTCTCCCCTTCTAGAAAGGTAGCTTGGGCTTGATAAAGGGGAATTCTTGGCTTTCCTCATACTGAGGGAGAAGTGAAACCTATTTGAAAACTCCCCAGAGTAGGCCTGCCTAGAGAAAGGGGGCTTGTAGTTTTTAGGAGCTGAGGGAGATAAAGAACAATAAAAGCAGCCACCTTATCATCATTTGTGCTAATAAATCAATGTTTTAAAGTAATAGCACATTTTTATTAGGCAAGAGTATCTTTATAGTGATTTAAACTCTCTGCCTATCAATATCAGACACAAGCTTAAGGGACACTTGGGTTCTATGACATGGTTGAGCAAACATTCTAGAATGACCTAGAGAACAACTGAGGCTTCATGTCACTGCCTAGGGTTGAAGTCACAGTCAAGGATGTCAACTGTGGGAGAAAAGACTAGAAGTTAGTAGATGGAACTGAGATCAGAGTCAAAGTGAATTGATTGTAGATCAGCATTTAGAGACAAGACAGAAAATAGTTGACAGACCCTTGCTGTGTGTTGTCTGCTGGTTACCCCAAGGATGGAGCTACAAAAAGACTGTCCCTGTGGCAGAAGTCAGTTCAGATTCAATGGGCTTAGCGTGCCCTGAAGAAGTGTAAAACTAGAACAAGCTTGCAGGTTGTGTTTAAAAAACCAGAGAAACAAATGACTTAAATCATTGTTTTAGACATTGATTCCCATGAGTCCTTTTTCAATGGCATGGGTTGAAATAAAAATAATGAATGTCAGCAATAGCCCAAAGCAACTACTTTATTTAAAATATCATAAGCAACTTTTAGAATGAGTTAGTCAGAAACATATGCAGGCTTCCATCAAAAGTTGAATCTGCACACAGGAACTTGAGGTGAGATGTGGGGCGTGAGCAGCACAGTCAGGGAATTATTGTATGGGAGAATGTTCACTTTTGTTTTTGAAATGAAAGATAGGGCTGGGAAGGTGGCTCAGTGGTAGAGTGCTTGCCTTGCATGCATGAGGCCCTGGGTTTGAAACCTTAGCACCACATAAGCAGAAAAAAAAAGCCGTAAGTGGCGTTGTGTCTCAAGTGGTAGAGCGCTAGCCTTGAGCTGAAGAGCTGAGGGACAGTGCCCAGGCCCCATGACAGTTCAGACCCCATGACAAGAAAGAAAGAAAGAAAGAAAGAAAGAAAGGAAGAAAGGAAGGAAGGAAGGAAGGAAGGAAGGAAGGAAGGAAGGAAGGAAGGAAGGAAGGAAGGAAAGAAGAAAGGAAAGACGCCATCTTTATTGTATGTACTACACATAGTCACCTTGTGATTCATGAGCTTGCTAGTGCAAGCAGTTGCCATTGTGGCCAGAGACATCCCTTTCTAAGTAGATGAAATGTGAATGGCAAGGCTGTAGACCCATTGTTTTCAACAGTTCCCTTTCCCCGTTTTCCCCGTTTATTTCACAGCATAAGGGTGATCCATAATGCACCTGAACTGTTTCCTTTAAATATCAAGATGACTCAGCTGCTCTGCCCAGTAAATAATAAGGTTTTGATGTTTACAGGTTATTCCTGTCACCTAAAAAGTGGTTAAAGTGAAAATTACCCAGTCCTGGCAGACATTTATGTGACCTAAGGTTTGTTTTTTTTCTTAGTATTTATAACCTTGACAGTTAATTTTGCTGTCTTTTTTTAAAGCCTGTCATTTAGCACAAATTGACATTTAAGCAGCTTTTTAAAGCTCTATATAAACATGTTAAGACAGTCTGCTTTTTTTTTGTCTATTTCACATTACCTATTATTTATTATCATCGTCAGGGAAGTGAATCATCAATTTTCCCTCTTTCAACATTTTCTTAGGAAGTGGAAGGAGTGAGGAAGACCAAATATCCTCAGCAAACTTTATTTCTCACCTAAAAAAACAAAAGCCCCAAATCAACTATTTAATGTTAAAATATTTTAGACAACCCAAAATACCACAAAATGAAGATAACTCACCAACTGAAAATTATCATACTCAACACCAAGGGTTTGCCTAGTGTCCTGTATACATACATTATAGTATATATACATGTATATGATGTATAATTAGTCTGGTATAGAGGACATATATATATATACATATACATATATATATATATATATGTTCAGAGAGCTTCACATATGAAGAAAGAGAACAACTATAAATTATTAAGAAAATTAGGAAACAACTTGATAGAAAAATGGGCAAGGATACGAACTAGAAATTTTGAAGAGAGTTTGAATGTCTATTTTGAAAGACACAAAAACTTATTAGTAATTAGAAAAAATAAATTGACATAAAATGCCAATTTTCATTCATAAGACTGGTAAAAACACAAATGTTTGAGGTGAGGATGTTGGCTTGGAGTGGGGTTTGGGCTCAGTATTCAAAAAACACCATTTCCCACCCACTGCCAAACTATAATCTAGGCAAATTGCTTCTGGGTTTCAAGATTGTGTGCAGGCTGAGGATCTGGTTAGTCTAGAAGGAAGCAGATGAATTCAATCAATGCAAAACTCAATCCTTTGGGAAAGGAAAAAATGAGGATGACACACACTGGGGAAGTAGGAAGTAATTTAGTGTGTGTGTAGGTCATGGAGCTGTAGTAAACTATGAAACAATAATTGGTGGTCTTCTGCTACAAAATGAGGTCTAGATATGACAACAATTTTGTTATTGTAAGGAAAATGGGTTTCTCAAAATCCAAAATTGCTTAGGTGAAAAAATATATCTACAGGATAATAACAATCAATCAATATTTAAAATATATATGCACAAAATGAACATATTAAGGTATATACATGTATATAGCATATAAGCTATACAATTTCTCAAGCCAAGGAAGGAAAAAAATAAATTTCTAAGCTTGTATCAACTCAACTATTTTTTATTTCAAAAGCCAGGATAGTTGTTTGGCAGGCAGATGAGTAACATCTGGGAGATGCTCTACTATAGAAATGAGATGCTAAATGGCATCTCAAGACTTATTTGTGATATTTAAAGAAAACAACTAAATCCCTCAATTGAAAAATAGATGTGAGGACTTTGAAACATTAAATCTGCCCAAGGGTGCAGGTGACATTGTGGGAAAAAAAGAAACATACTCATTACCTGATTTATGTAACTGTAACCCTTCTGTACATCACTTTTACAATAATTTTGAAAATTGTGTTTCTAAGTAAGTCTAGGATTAAAGGAAAAACAACATATGTAATTACTGATAGAATCAGAGTGCAAGGTATTTGGCAAACCATTATTCATCAGAAATGTAAAGTGAATTTTTTAGGAAACAAGACTAAATATGCTAACCTTTCCACTGACAATAAAAAGCAATGCAAAACAAAAAAATTAAAACATAAAACCATAAATAAATTAATACAACTACTCACACTCCCAAACCATATTCATTATGAGAAAGTTCTTTGAAAAACCCAATAAAATACAGAAATCTTGGCTAATTCTGATGGACAAGAAAGACAGGGAGAGGGCCTGAGAAATAGAAATTAAAACACAACCAAAGATACAAATAGTACTTATCAAATCATAAAAGAATGCTATCCAAAATTTATATCAATAAATTTAAAAATTTAGAGGACAATCTTGTTAGGGACATGTCAGAATAATATCAGAGAAGATCTAAAAATAAATAGGCAATTTGCCGTGGAAAAAAACTTGAATACACAAGTTTTTAAAAGTCCACACTAAGAAAAAGACAATGGCCTTATGCCATATTATGTATACAGTCTACAAAACTTTTTCAAGGAAGATTTTAAAAATATATCTACAGAAATGAGGCAAGAATATTACTCGTACAGTGTCCAAAGTCTTGGGAAATGAATTAAGTTTTGAAGACAAAAAACCCTGAAGCATCTATTGGTTCAGCTATTTCAGCTTAAAGATTTTTTTAAAAAGTAAGTCAGAATGTCTCTGAAAATGATACGCAGGTAAACACAGGTGAACCACTCCATAAATATGAATGTGGAATTTGTAAAGAAAGGGATCCACTACTGCAATGCTTCCATCTTTGATACAAGAGTTTGTTTGGTTGTTTTCAGATGTGTCCAAGGCATGAACTAGGCATAGGCATAGATCAAAAGCATTCTAGAATAAACAGAGGATTGTTTTGTTCCTGGTTGATATAAAATGAACACCATGAAGTTGATACCACTCTGCCCAGAACAGGGATATGAAATGGGAATTTTAAATCCTAGACATACAGTTTAGGAGTCCAGCTTCTTACTCTTATATACCAAATAGATATACAATGTTATATGTATATATATATCTTATATTATATACTGCATATAAACTATATATACATATGCACACATATATAACTATGCATATAAATATATATTATTATAGTTATGTATGAACAATATTCTACTTACTATATATGTTATTAAGATAGACCTAAGTGTGACATAAGCTTTTCTCTTTTTCTGACCTTTCTAGGTTTTCTACAATAAACATATTAGTTTTATTATGTCAGATTTTAATGAGTCAATAAATTCATCTTACCTACCTAAATTTTTCATGGCTTAAAAGAGAATAAGGTTGGCCCAGGTACCAGTAGCTCACACCTGTAATCCTAGCAGTTACATAGGCTGAGATCTGAGGATCTTGGTTTGAAGCTATCCTGGACAAGAAAGTCCCTGTGAGACTTCTATTTCCAATTCACAACCAAAAGGTCAGAAATGGAGTTGTGACTTAAGTGGTAGAGCAAGTGCTAGCTTTGAGCAATAAAGCTCAGAGACAGCATCCAGGCCCTGAGTCCAAGCCCCAGGACTTGCACACAAAACCCCCCTAGTATTGTTCTAGTACTAGGACTTGAAATTAGGGCTTCTCAATCTTACTTTTCCTTTTCCATTCAAGAATGGTTCTCTACTATTTGAGCCACATCTCTACTTCTGGCTTTTACTTAACTAGAGATAAGAGTCTGATAGGCTTTTCTGTCTGTGACCCTTTTCTGTGTGTGACCCTTTCCTGAACTGTGACCCTTAGATCTCTGCCTCTTGAGTAGCGAGGATTACAGGCATGAGCCACCAGAAATCACTTATTCTATAAAGAAACTATACACCATTGATAATAGAATTAGATTCTTCACTCCCTGATTGGTGCATCAATGTCTGTTTCATAATAACTTTAAAAAAATCCATCATTTTGCTTGTTTATCCTGAACTTATTACACATATGATATTATAGCAGCAACCAAGTTTATAGAAATGTACAGTTATTTCTTCCTTGAAGAGTTTTCATCTGTCAAGATTAAAAGAGCTGTTACAATACAACATAATTCCAGTGATAAACAGCTGTGCAGAAATTAAGTATGATGAAATCCATATAGAGTGAGGCTAATTCTTAGGGGAAATAAGCAATGTTTGCCAAAGATATTTCAAAGTTCGAAATAGATCCTGAAAAATATCTCTCATGTGTCACAGATATTAGATTTTTAAGCAGCCTACTAGATGATACTAACATAGAGCTTAAGGTCCTATTTTTTAAACTAAATAACAGGTAAGCATATGTTTCCCACCTATAGAGCCTCAAGTGAGGTGGGCTAGAGTGAAACAAGGTGAAACCTGAATAAATCCTCAGTTTTTCCTGATCTTAGCTTCTGGTTTAATGTCAAGTTTAGAGGTCACCTAGCTAAGCAATGGACTCCTGTTAGCTTTGCTTAAACCATTAAGTAACACCATTAAGTAAAGATACCATAGTAAAAATTAGTTTGGTTTTAGAAACATAGAAGTAGTGTTGTCTAGCTTGAACTGATTAAAGCCACCAATTTCCTCAGTTGGTGAAGGCCCCAAAGTCCACCCACAGATCACTCTAATATCATTGTTTTCTCAACACACATGCTATGATTAACCATGGCATTTGATTATGCATATGCAGACCACTGAGCACTTTTTCTCATCTTCATTCATCTTTCCCTAAGCTACAGACCATCCTGCTTCTTTAATCTAGGGATAGTCATAAGCTCTATGTTGGGGGAAGATGGATCTAGGCTTGTTTTCTATCTTCTCCATAAAAGTTTCTATATTCCAAACACTAGTGCTCTGTGATTGTTGTTGGCTGCATTAAGGTGCAAATCTAATTTTAAAGCCTGTTTACAAGATGAGAGTAAAATAAGTCAGAGAAGGTCAGGGGCAAGTCTGTAAGTTTGAAAATGTAGTCCTCACATCAGTCAGTCACTGAAGTATCACCTGAAAACTTATTAGAAATGTAAATGCTGAGTTCCCCACTTCAGATCTATTAACTCAGAAATTCCTGGCTGGAGATTATCCATCAGTGTTTTATCTAGCCCTTCAGCATACTCAAGTTCAAGAACCACTGTGAGAAAGTCAGAGCTGGAATCAGTCATTGACATACAGCCAGCTAGTTGCTTTAATTTATCTAGCTGTCTTTTAATCATGCATCAGTAAGAAGGAGGAAATGACAGAGGAGCAAGGAAAGCTTTTGGCTTTTTTCCCATTTAGACAAATATGTAATTAATAGTTAATATAATTAATAGTAAATAGTAATTAATGCGTAAAAATTGCTTTTCCATTTTAAGTGAAGCAGCCCTAGAAGTGTAGAATGGATTTTTTTTTGCCTAATTTACTCTTGGGCTTGAAGGAACAATGGGAGCTACATTGGAACCAATCTCTACAATGATAAGGCAGATGATCTTTGATTTGTTATGCTGAAAAAGAAAAAGAGAATTTTCCATCTGCAAACACATGCCTGCCAGCCACAGACCAGGTGACTGAAATTCTACATGGCTAAAATTATCTGTTTGGCACGATTCACTTTTTTCTCTTTAACTTAATTTGAGAATCTGCATTTAAATAGGCAAATTCTTCTGCATCCTGCAACTCCTCCCGCCCCCCTCAAGGAGGAGAGCATTTTAAATTATCACCAGTCTAATTCAACCATGAGTTAATTAACCACAACCCTTACTTGTGCAATAAGAGATACAGGAAGCAGAAAGGCTTGAGTATGTTGGGGAGGAGACTACTGGAGATCAGGGATATGGGAATTAGTCACTGGAAATAAATTTCAATTGCTTCACCTCATAAGACCTCAGATTCTTCTTTCTAGTGCTGGCCCAACTTTGAAAAACCCAGTCTACCCCTTCGATGCCTTAAATTCCCAGTGGTCAAGAGTCTCACAGGCTTTGGGTTTTAGAAATACCTGACAGTCTTTAAGTGCTAAATATGCAAAAAGGAGAATAAATAAAAAATACATTTAACATCACTGTGTAATAAATTTAACATCACTGGCTATCTTCACTCAGATTCCTATTATTGTACCAATCTAAAGACTATCTACTCTCCTGAGAAAGTCAGGGAACTCATCTGTTTAGCACTCAAATATTAACTGGTGACAGTTCTCTGTACTCTAGTGAATGACAAGGTTGGTTATATAACAGCCAGATTAATGGATGCTTAAAGCCTTGAATTACTTTTCTGGAGACTGGACGTGGATGAGAAGCCAAGTGCTATTTTCAGTAACCTATATTACCCATATTGTTTATTTATGATATTTTGTCGTCTTAAAGTATTCTGATGAGAGGAAAGAATTTCTTATATTTTATTATAGAACTGAGTTAAGTGGTTAATTAATAACCTAGACAAGAGCTTTGAATAACTTCTTCCACTGCCTAATAAAGATGTCTCAGGATTTTCTTTCTATTCCTGGCAGTAGAGTCCTGAGGAGATAAACAACCAGCCAGCCTCACATAAATCACTCTTGGAGAGATAAGCTGCCTGACCTTTTGGGGAACTGTTTATACTTGTGTAACACTGAAACCCCAGGAACTCCAAACTCTTAGGGGAGGTTATTGTACATAGGTACTATTAAGTCTTTAATCTTGCCACTTCTTAAGAAAAGAGAAAGATGCAAAGATGGTAACATACTTTCTTGGACCACAGCACCACAGACATCAAAGAAAGCCCCAGGTACCTCACATCCTGCTTCTTCCTTATCTTTCTCTTTACTGAATAGCGTTTTCCTCCTTCCCTCCCTCCCTCCTTTCTCCCCTCCTTCCTTCCCTCCCCTTCCTCCTTCCCTCCCTGTCTTCCTTCCTTCCTTCCTTCCTTCTTCCTTCCTTCTTTCCTTCCTTCCTTTATTTGGGGGTGGGGTGGGGATAATGGCAAAATACACATCCATCCTCTCTCTCAGAAAAGAACATTCCTTCCAGCAAATGGAAACATGACATTTCTTTCTTTGCTGCTGTTTTGTTTCCTATTCTTTTTGTCTTGTTTATTCATTTAGTTCTGCTTTGAGGTGTAGGGCACAGAAATGGAGGGACAAATGTAGCAGTGGTACTCAAACACTATGTTGAAAATGAACTACATGACTTGTGTGTGAGGGGTAACTGAAAGAGAGCGAGGGAAGGGGTGACATTGCAAAACAAGAAATGTACTCATTACCTGATGTATGTAACGTAACCCCTCTGTTGCTCAGGCCAACGTGCAGCCTAGAAACCATTCTATATTCTTTCCTTTCCCTCCCTAGGTCAAAGCTTTCACCCAATTTAATCAGATAAGTCAAGTCCTGCCTTCAATACCTGCATGTAACCAATGATTCCCTGTCACCTCCACTGATACCCTATCATAGTCATTCACATCTCCCATGCAGATTACCATAGGAGCCCCTACTTGGCCTCTACATCCCATGTCCTCAGTGTTCCATACTTTACTTGAGAGTCTAAATCATCTTTTAGGATATAAATAAGGTTTTATGTCTACCTGTTCAAGTTCTCCACAGAGTTTCAAGTAAGGAACTTTCAAGTAAGCTGCATAAGATTTTGATATATATATATATATATATATATATATATAAATATATATATATATTTATACATACATGTATATATATATATATATATATATATCTTTCAAGTACCCATTTCCTGATGTTTATTTTGTTGAACCAAGATTATGCCTTTCTAAGGAATTATACTTTTGAGTTTTCCCCTAAATCTACCATACATTTATATACACTTGCATACCCTCCAAAGTATTTACTTACATACTAATAAACCAATTCTAGCAGGAAGATTTTTAAGACCCTGCTTTTAAAAAATAACAAGTGACAACAAGAAAAATAATATGGAAATACAATTAGATGGAAGAGTAAATTAGAGATCCCTTACAGTATCAATTAACTCTAGATAGATTAACTGTAGTTAATAACAATG